AAACAAATGGCATTTTGCTCAAGTGTACTGAATATGTCGATTATTCATTAACGGAAAATAAATAATTTGCTGTTATTAAGCAGAAATATGTATGTCAGTAGAATGGAGAACATGGCACATTTTTGCGTTAAGCATACATGTTGCGTTAAGTAGATCTTAGTTCATAAAGCATCAGATGGCTGACATGTCGCTCGTTTAAATAGCGGCGACAATATTCAGATTTTCACATGTGCTTAATAGGGCGTGTTTGGTCAAGTATCATTTGCTGTGAGAACGGTTATGACACTTTATTAGGTGAGATATGAGTGGGATTAAAACATATTTTCAACAATCAACGCTTTTTTTTTATTGAATTTGTTGAAATGTCCTAGTAATTTGAATAGAGAAGTGAAATCTCCAATATAAACCGGTTCAAGTAGACAATAAAACAGTTGTTTTGAGAGATGTTTTAAAGTGATATAGCTATAGTGAGTGCTTAAATTGATGCAGTCACTCTGTTATTACTTGTTCTTTGTGGAATGTAATTGCCGTCTTGCAGAATGCAGTAGAAAATCAATTATGGTCGTGAAAAGGTACACCTTGACCAATGAACTGAGATTTCGATGATGTAGGTCAGTTCAGCACTCTTTTGTGTATGTATGCGTTTCTATTGGTCGGTTTGTTGGAGCGTCTTTGCTTCTTAGTACCAGAGGTCAGTTTCGTGTATGATTTATTATTGCCGTGCTTCAAGAGCGCAGCTCGAAATACTCAGTTTGCTAATTCAATCGTTTTTTCCCATGTTTTCTTGGATTCCGCCTAATTGCCCCCAATAACTTGTTCTGATTCCATATATTTATAATTTGCGAAAATGATACGTATTATTAGTCGTAAATTACCACTTAAACTACAATGTGAAAAATACGTCTACATTGTGATTAATTCGTAATTACCACGAATTAGTAAGCGAGTTGGAAAAATCTCTTAGCGCAAACTGTGAGTGAAGATTATGAATCCAATGACACCCCTGCAAGCCTGCAATGGCTGGAGAAATTGTATTATGATATTTTTTTCCGAAAAACTAATTTTTCCTAATGTTGCTAATCTAGTTCTTGCATCGCAATAATCACCATGCCATTAAAACCATATTTGTCCGGACAATTCACAAAATGCATTGACCTGTAAACGTGAACGACTTCTATATCATAATCATTTAAATACAGCTATAAAATTAATGGAATACTGATTATTGTTCGATAACTTTCAATCCCGTTAATCGCCGATTTAATTGATCTTCTTGGGGTTTAGCAGAATATTGCAACTTTTACTAATGATCTATTTTTATTCAAGTGCAGGTACACCAGTTGAAAAATAACTCATCAGTGAAGCTTATTTAATTGATTAATTTCCATAAGTAATGATAGGTATTACTTTACCTACTGCCAATATAAATTTGTTATAAAGAGGAAGAGAATGAAAAGAAAGCGTTTCTTCACTGGACTCTCTGTTAATTATTTCGGATAAAGAGGTCGAGATTGATATAAAAACCGCTACAGATGAAGCTTGCATTATTATAAAAACAAAAGCAAGCCGCGACCGGATGGAAAAGGGAGACGCAAACGAATATACATATACATTATTATTTAAGATCTGGATGGAATAAAATGCAAATTGCGATTTTTCCACAAAACCTCTCAAAGGGTAATAGTAGATTTCACAAGCGTTCCGCACTCTGCAGTTTAGATGAAGTCAAATAATGGTATTTGCGGTATTTTGCGTCGCTATCCAACGTCCAAGCACTGTTATTTAGATCATTCCTGGTAGTAAATAAATGTATCGATATTGAAATAAACTGCTAGTCCGGCAATTGCGAATTAAACCGGTCGACGTTTACTAGAAAAAAATCTCCCCCAGAAGATGATGGGAGTAAGAACCTTGCAAGGTCGATCTGATTGCTCATCTCAACTAAGATATCTGCGCGGCCAGTCCCTTATTTATCTAGCCGGTTTATAAGGTGTTTCGTTCAGAATTTTTGTGCTCCCTAAAAGAAATTTTCCACACTGTGTTCAGTAGCCTCCCCAAAACTTAATATAGGTTTACCCATTTTATGCTTGGGAAAGTAAAGAAAAAAAAATATTCAGATGGAGACGAAAATTTTAATAATATAAAGATTAAACCGTGAAATATCTATCGGTGAAAACCAATAGCATTTAAATGTCCTCCACGGGACCTCCTGCAGGCCTCAATCCTTTTGAGGTAATTTTGAATGACTTTTCGGCACAATACCGGTAATATCTTGGTCATAACTTCACGGATATTGGCTTTCCGTTGCTCGAGAGTTTGAGGATTGTTGGCGTAAACACGATCTTTCGCATAGCCTCACAAGAAGAAATCTAACGGTGTTAAGTCGCAGGATCTTGCCGGCCAATCGACATCACTCAATCTCGAAATTACGCGTCCTGGAAATTTCTCTTTCAATAGGGCTTTAACTGCCAGTGTTGTGTGACTCGTTGCCCCTTTTTCCAGATCACAATCTTCAATTTCTCTCCAAAAGTAATCGGTTAACATGCGTCCATAGCGCTCAGAATTGACTGTTATGGCTCTTCCGTGATCGTTTTCAAAAAAATACGGGCTAATAACACCACCGGACCATCATGCACACCATATGGTCATTTTTTCAGGTTGTAAATGCCCTTTTGCGATCACCTGAGGATTTTGAGAGCCCCATATACGGCTGTTCTGTTTATTCACGTATCCACCGAGCGAAAAATGAGCCTCATCGCTGAACAAAATTCGGTTCGAAAAATCATCATCAACGGCTTGTTGTTCAATCACCCAATTTGCGTATGTTCTGCGTTGCCCATAGTCTTGAGGCTTAAGTTCTTTGTACAGGAGCTACAAATCCAATTTCAAAATTCTCCACAATGAGCCGTAAGACAAGCCCAAATGTTGAGTTGAGCGAATTCGGGTCTTTCTTCACACTTTGAGCAACAACAGCGACATTTTCAGCTGAACAGATGTTGCGATGATGCACAAGCCTTATAATATCAGTAGCCGATCCAGTCTCTTCAAATTTTTCCAATTTGTTCGAAATTGTTTGCTCTTTGGATTATATCGACCGTAATCTGCTCGTAAAGCCCTAAACGTTGATACAACAGGATCACCATTTTTATAATAACATTTAATAATTTTGCCGGAAGGCATTATAAATTGAACGCTACTTATACGCAATAGCGCAATTTTAGCTAATTAATTATTTCTTAGCGTAGCTACTGATCTTCAGATATTTAAAGAAAGGCATTAAATATGCGAAGTGCTACTGAATAAATGCGTAGCGCGGTTCAAGAAGCAGTTATTCCGTTTCCCGTTTTTTATTAATTCTTCCTGCGTTTTAGTTGACTTATTTAATCAGCTAATGAATATTTTATCAAGTAGCTACATGTCGTCGGCATATATTAATTACGAAAAAAAACAAGTTCTTTTGAAGTAAAACCGCAGTTTTGTGCCAAGCATTTTGTCGGAGCCTTCATCAAAATTAAGGGCGAACCATTAAAAAGACGCCTTAATCTGATCGCTGAAGCACAGTGAGCATTGTTATCTTCGATGAAGATGGAAAAATATTTGACGCATGACATACTAATCCTGAACGAATCAAATTTGCTGTGCAAAGAAAAGGCACAGGATTAACAGGCGGCGATTTCGCCTACTGATAACTATTGCAAAACGCTTAAGAAGATTAAGCTTAAACGGAAAAAAAGCAAAATTTGTCACAGCCAACGTCTACGAACTAATAGCACTCCAGACACTCTTTGTTGATTTGCCAACTGTTGCTTCTGGTTATTCACACTTACAACAATGTAAACCCCAACAAGGACAATTTATGCAAACTGAGACAATACTAAAGTGCCCACTGAAAGTACTTGGAAAATGTCTACGAAAATAAAACCTGAAACTAAATGGGATTTAGTTAGTATTCCTAGTGGGCTTGCTACTTCCGCTGATGAACAATACAGGCGAGTGAAAAGTAGATTTTTATTATTATAATATTTTAAACAAATTCATTTGTGCATTCTCTTTCGCTGGCCAGTAACACATTTCAGCTTTGCTTGCTTTCCGCAATGTGAAATATTAAACAGGTTAATTGTTGCTAATTTGATGCATTTTTTGCATGTTTGTAGTTGTTATTACAAAAGGTGTGAAAACTTTGCAGGCTCATAGCAGCTCGACTTTGCAGCGTCAAGTTCGTTCTTTGAAGGCACTGAAAATGTTCTGCATTTTTCAATAGTACTCTTTTTATGTAACTTCCGTTTCCACTTGAAAACTGGTTTTGTTTAAAAGTATGCACCTGTAAGTGTCCACGCCACTGACAAAGCTCAGAATATTTATATCAGAAAACCTTTTTAGAGCAGTTTTAGCAATTTAATTAAAAGAAACTAAGCGTTTGAATTTATATTAACATTCCAGCAGGAATTGTATTGGCGTTCCAAATATTTAGGGTGAGTTTGTTAAATAAAATTAATAACGTGTTGTGGAAGGAAATTGATAAAAATTGATCAAGTCGTGATTTTTTAAAAAACTGCTTCTGCTAGCTTGCCGTTTTTATTAAGCATTTATCAATGTAAGAAATAACGAGAATCATGACCAATTAAATATTACTAAATTTATTAAACTACTGTTATACCTGATAATTAGTCGCTGAAGCGGCTTTAGAGGAAATGCCCTGGAACTAAGATTTTATTGCATACATTTTTATTTTGTCGGTTTTTTCTGTGATGTTTTTTTAGTATATGGGGATATAAAAAATCAAGAAAATACCCCATTATTGTGAGCTCCCAGGGGGGCCGCGCCAGTAGTGCGCCTGATGTGAATTTTTGCGGTAAAAATATTTCAAAGTGAGAAAACCACTAAGAACTTGTTTGAATTGAGCAAATTCAGCACAAAAATGCAAATTTCCAGTCTCGCTTTTCCTAGTGCCTTTATTGATTTTTTCATATGATTGCCGATAATGAAACATTGAAGCTTACTGCAATTGGGCGCAAAGTTCCCCTGTGAACATTCTGGTACAGACTGCCTGGAACCAAATGATGCCGATACTTGGATGGTTCCAGTTGGGAGCCGCAACTAATGTTCTTCATGTTATACACTGTCACTAGAACCCACAGGAGCGAAAATTCCAAAAATCATTACCGGCAAATGATTACATTTTTGTGATCGGTAGAAAGTTACGTAAGTTAAAGCGCTCTTCAGACGCGAAGCGAACGCTCCAAAGCGGATTTACTTTATGCCGGTATCTACGGTTAGTCAATGTTTGTTAAGGTCTTCGCGGGTCTTCCTTTTGCTGTAGCAACTGGAGGTGGGCTGATAGTGACCACTGATGCACCAGCATAGACAAGATCAAAGTTTATATGGCTATTATGTTTGAAACTATGCAGGGTAACGAGAATTGAGAACCTTGCGACATTGATAAAACCTATAAGCAACTAACGTTTATTGCCAATTTAACAGTCGGTTTTGCCGGATCATTTCTCAAGGCGTCAGCTTCTTCTTTGTTCTTGCGTTGAGGCTGACTGCAATAGTACGGTGAAGATGCATGGAGTTGAATGAGAGTTGGGTATTGATTCAATTAGCATAACTATCTCTGATATGTTTCCAAAACTGCCGAAAGTTGTCATGAAAATTATCTAACTGTTCCAAGCACCGTTACTGGCGAGTAACAATCATTTGCAAGTACACCATACCTATTTGCCAGTAAGCCAGTAGAGTATAATAGCAGTAAATACAATGCGTCATTGTTATAGCCCATGCAGAGCCAGTAGAACTATTCGACAAAAAGTATCCTTAACACGATTCACGAAAACCTTAGCTCAATTTTACTTGTTGACTTTTCATGGTTCATTTCACTTAAAAACTGGCCATGCAGTTTCTTTCGCGTCGATCAGGTATTGGATATGGTAACGGTTTCGGAATATCGATGCTTTTTTGCTACAATTAGATTTTTTCATCCAAGCTCATAGTCTTCAAAATACACGTGCCACTATTCCACACAGATTTCTTTGCTTTGAAGAATTTATTATCCATCTCATCATTCAATCTCAACTTTGCTAAAATCTGAAAGCTTTTTTTATAGATTTGATGAATTTATGCACTTTGAACATTCCCAAAAATCCGAAGCCATTGCAATAGTAGGCCCTTTTGCATCCTTGTTGCCTCTTGGAGTGTAAACTAGCTGTAAACTCCAAATGTTTGTTTTTTACAAACCTGCTCTAAGCCTAATGGGGCCATTTATACGAAATCTTCAAACCACCTAACTTTACATGCATTAAACAGGTAGAGTTACATCAATGAAATGCGGTTTTTGATCTAATTTACCTAAGAAGTTTGAAAATATAGTACTAGGACTGTACATCGGGCACTTGTTCTAGATGGGCATTGAACCTGAGTCATTCTTCGAGTTGTGAGCGGCTTTTCCTATTTCTATGAAGATATTTCTATACTGCCTAACTCTATCGGCAATATGAAAATCTCTCTTAAGGGCTTCCATCAGACTATTACCTCCTGTTTTTTTTCGTTTAGTCACTGCTAAGTCCGTTTTTTAACAGAGAAGATGCATTTAAATTTTCAGCAGTTATATTATTTTCTTTCCTAAGTTCCAGTCACAGTGTGAAACTAAAATTTTTTTTGTATATCGTTTATTTCGTTACGTTTCGGCGAGACAACAGCGCCATCATCAGATTTTAAAATTCATTCAAACTCATAATTGGTAAACATTATATTCATTTAGGTCTTTGCTGTCTTTTACAGCAAGTTGTCTCGCCGAAACGTAACGAAATAAACGATATACAAAAAACAATTTGGCTGTAAAAGACAGCATAGACCTAAATGAATATAATGTTTACCAATTATGACTTTGAATTAATTTTAAAATCTGATGATGGCGCTGTTGTCT